CAGAGGGACCAGAGAGAGACCAGAGAGAGACCAGAGAGAGACCAGAGAGAGAGATAATGATCTACATGACAACCAAAGACCAGTAATAATTCAGATCTCTTACAGCTTCATCAACGCTACAATCATTCCCTAAGATTCCCATCCACCCCTCCTCTCCTCTCCTCTCCTCTCCTCTCTGAATCTTCTTCCATCCAGTCTTCTGCCATAACAGGCTCCTTGGGGCCCTCAGGCTTCAGCGTGGGGGTCTCGGCTGATGCGTGGGGGTCCGGATGTGTTCTGCTTCTTTCTAATGAGCTCTGGAATGTCACAGTGTCTGGAGACTGTCTCGGCTCCACGCGGGAATCAGCCCGTCCCATCAAACCCTCGCACCTGCTCAGGGCGGCTGTTCCAGGCTTTTACTCTGTATTGTCGCTACAGACGCTGCTTCTCACTTGGCCTCGTTTTTTTTTATCACTCACAAAACCACAATTCTGCTTTTTCTGAGTCCGTGCATCTCATAGAACAGGAGATGGGAGGAAGAGCAATGAGGACGGAGCGAGGCTGGAGAGGAACAACTGTCTGTGTTTCTATAGAGAAGGTTTGTATTCTCTGGGGGGGGGCACATTGGGGGTTTAATGGGTTTTAATTTAGTAGTAGTAGTAGTAGTGTTTATTTCGAATTACATGCGCAATACAAAACAAAACAAAAAGAAGAAACATATATATGCATAATTCGAAAAGGAGTAGGTAGAAGTGAAACTTATGCTTCCTACCCCTTGTTACAAACTTTTCACTTTACAGGAGTTCAAATGATATACAGGCATATTTCTCTCAGATATACAATTTACACTCGTCTCCATGAATAGTAATTTTAAATGCTGATTTAGCACCAATGATGTTCTTAGGTCTTGTTGTCACTTGTCACTTGTTGCCATTTTTACCCAAAGCTGTTTATTTAATGTTAACATGGTTATGTATGTAGACCCTACATAGTGCAGTGCATTAAAAACAGTGGGTAGAATGAGCCAGTCGAGAGAAGGTAATAGCCCCCACTCAACCCGCCCCACTCCCAACATCCCTGACCAATGGAAATGTAGGAAAATTTGCGTTGTATATTCTTGCTGTGTGGTGCGTTAAAAACGAGGTGTTGAGGCAGCTTGGCAAAAGGGAGCCCGCCAATCCAACCATATCTCGTCTGCTCTGATTTACTTGCATCTGTTTAAGCAGTAATGGCAATCACAACATGACAACTTGTTTTCCTGCACTATAGATCTTGGTCATGTGCTATTCATGGTTAATGGGAGGGTTTTAATGAGTTGAATGAGCTATATGTAAGATTTTCATGTCAAGTCATCATCAAAGGCTCTGAATCTGTTAAAAGGCATTAATAATCATGCTCTTTTCCAATACTTCTTTAACTGATAACAGTAGTTCAGCCTGGGTACAGTATGTGTATTTCAAAATTAGAAAACAAAAAATTTGCCCCTAAATCTTTTCGATGTCCCGCCCTCTATCGTTTTACCGATCAGAAAGTCCGTGAACTCACCTCGTCAAGCTAATCTCACTGGAAAAGCATAGCAGGCCCAGTAAAAAAAATGTCTAGTTGGGATTCTCAAATCAATAATGACAAAACAGTAGTAATAGTAATAATCTAGGACACTGTACTGTAGCTATCATGTTAAGACGTTATACAAGAAACAAGGTTCGTCCACATTCAGTTGAATCAGACGGATCCACATGCGACATCAGCAGAATGTCACATCAAAGAACCAGCGTCGCTCTTAACAAGTCTCTTTTTTACCCCATAAGCAAAAATGCATCGAATAATCCATGCAATGAAAAAGTAGTGTGTGTGTGTGTGTGTGTGTGTGTGTGTGTGTGTGCGTGTGTGTGTAAAAGAGTGCGAACACACAGGCTAGCAGCTTGTCAAAGGACTTTGGACTGACACGATAGTCCAAAGTGTGAAATGTTGACTATCTATGGTCTTAACTCTGGTCTCTCTCTAGTTCCTCTCTGGTCTCTCTCTAGTTCCTCTCTGGTCTCTCTCTGGTCTCTCTCTAGTCTCTCTCTAGTCCCTCTCTGGTCTCTCTCTGGTCTCTCTCTGGTCTCTCTCTGGTCTCTCTCTAGTCCCTCTCTAGTCCCTCCGTGGTCTCTCTCTGGTCTCTCTTTGGTCTCTCTCTGGTCTCTCTCTGGTCTTTTTCTGGTCTCTCTCTGGTCTTTTCTCTCCAGCCTCTCACTGGTCTCTCTCATAACTCTGGTTTCTCTGGTCTCTGTAGTCTCTCTGGTCTGTCTAGTCTCTCTCTGGTCTCTGTAGTCTCCGTATCTCTCTGGTCTCTCGCTTGTCTCTGTAGTATCTCTCTCTGGTCTCTGTCTGGTCTCTCTCTGGTCTCTTTCTTGTCTCTGTAGTTTCTCTTTGGTCTCTGTAGTCTCTCTCTGGTCTCTGTAGTCTCTCTCTGGTCTCTCTCTCTGGCCTCTCTCTGGTCTCTCTCTGGTCTCTCTGTAGTCTCTCTCTCTGGTCTCTCTCTTTGGTCTCTGTAGTCTCTCTCTGGTCTCTCTCTCTGGCCTCTCTCTGGTCTCTCTCTAGTCTCTCTCTGGTCTCTCTGTAGTCTCTCTCTGGTCTCTCTGTAGTCTCTCTCTCTGGTCTCTCTCTTTGGTCTCTGTAGTCTCGCTCTCTGGTCTCTGTAGTCTCTCTCTGGTCTCTCTCTCTGGTCTCTCTCTTGACTGGCACAGGCAGAGCACACATTACATATACTAAATCAAGAGTAATACATTTTATTATCCCAAAATGATGAGCAGTGTCAAATATAAAGGCATACATCAGAGCTCCACGGATCGTTACCGCCCCCCCCCCCCCCCCCCCCCCCCCCCCCTCCCCCTCTCTCCCCTCCCCGCCCTCCCCCATCACCAAACATCATTGACTTAACATAAACCATTTATAAGACAAATGTGGCGAGATGTTGTCATAAATAACATCTTGGCGTCTTCCCCCATTGTGTGGATGTGGTTATATCTGAGGAGACAGAGGAAGAGGACCGCAGCGAGACCGAGAGGCACATCACTGAACTGTTATGGTAATGTAGAAATAGTACTAAAGAAGGAGTATGGTATTGGTTCAACAGCAGCAGGACTTACCCAGAACCATAGGGGAAAAGAGACCAGAGAGGGAGACCAGAGAGGAAGACCAGAGAGGAAGACCAGAGAGAGAGACCAGAGAGGGAGACCAGAGAGGAAGACCAGAGAGGAAGACCAGAGAGAGAGACCAGAGAGGGAGACCAGAGAGAGAGACCAGAGAGAGAGACCAGAGAGGGAGACCAGAGAGAGAGACCAGAGAGAGAGACCAGAGAGGGAGACCAGAGAGAGAGACCAGAGAGAGAGACCAGAGAGAGACCAGAGAGGAAGACCAGAGAGAGAGACCAGAGAGAGAGACCAGAGAGAGACCAGAGAGGAAGACCAGAGAGAGAGACCAGAGTGAGAGACCAGAGAGAGACCAGAGAGGAAGACCAGAGAGGGAGACCAGAGAGGGAGACCAGAGAGAGAGACCAGAAAGAGACCAGAGAGAGACAAGAAAGAGAGAGAGACCAAAGAGAGAGTCCAGAGAGAGACTGAGAGAGACTATAGAGGGACCAGAGAGACTCCAGACAGAGACCAGAGAGGAGACCCGAGAGAGAGACCGGGGAGAGATGAGAGAGAGTCCAAAGAGAGAGACCAAAGAGAGAGACCATAGAGAGAGACCAGGGAGTCCAGAGAGAGAGGCCGAGAGAGAGACTATAGAGGGACCAGAGAGAGAGAGACCTGAGAGAGACCAGAAAGAGAGACCATGAGAGTCTAGAGAAAGACCATAGAGCAACCAGAGAGACTTCAGAGAGAGAGACCAGCAACAGAGACCAGAGAGGAGACCAGAGAGAGTCTAGAGAGAGACCAGAGACCCTCCTCTCAGGCACCCAGTGGAATAAAAGTGAGAAACCTCTGGGAGGCCAATATTAAGAGAGGGGGATCTGCTCCCACAAACAAACCAGCTTTAAATCCAGGACTGAGGCTGTAAAACCAGGACTTTCACCTTAATAGTATTTTTCTAACATCATGAGAGAAATATATACAACATAAAAAGGGATGAAAAAGACCAAATTTGCTTAAGATTGACTGTATCTTAATTACATTCTGACTGCCTTAAAACTAGATTTGGCAATGGGACAAGCAAAATACTGTTTTAAAGATACAAAAAATGTTGAAATGAGATATAAAGCAACAGTTCTTGAAATAAACTAATTACTTTGGTAAATTGGTAAATCACAGTCAGAATGTACCGCACTACCGCAGGGCCTTTATCCCCACTGCTGTCAGACTGTACAATAAGTCACTTTTAGTCACTTGCACTAGGACTGAAAACCTGCACTACTATTGACACTGTTTCTTTAATTGCCACTTTTTATTGTACATAATTTTGACTTTGGCATGTTGCACACTTCTGTCTTTGTGATTCTATCCATGCCAGATGCAGTACATTTCTCCTGAGTGAGATCATTAAAGTCTATCTTCTCTCATCTTATCTTACTAAAATTAAGATGAAAAGTAGCCACTTCATTTAAGCAATTATTACCTCAAATGGGATCTTTTTTTGCAGTGTAGATAATATTAAGACCCAGAAAACAGAGCTGATCAAACTTGTAAATACTGCGGAACTCAGAAGGTCACGGCCTCAGCTGGTATTTTTAAAACTGTCTAAACCAAGTGCGGTTCAAAGAAAAGCAGGTGAGAGCAGAACAGACGTCGCTCAGAGTCGGGTCTTACTCCTTAACGACTTTTTCCGGTCGTGGAACATTCGCTGCTTTCATTTCCACCACAACAGAAGCTGCGCGAGCGGTTTCTAACGAGTGTCTTTGAACGCCTCACTCCTCGCCCACTGCCTCCGCACCAGAAGCTCCATCCGGCTCCAGCTCCTCGTGAGCCTGGTCTACATGAAGGACGTGACATCACAGGCTTTCGCTGCGGACGAGGAGCAGAGGAGGCACAGATGAGGAGCAGATGAGGGGCAGAGGAGGAGCAGAGGAGGAGCAGAGGAGGGGCAGAGGAGGGGCAGAGGAGGGGCAGAGGAGGAGCAGAGGAGGGGCAGAGGAGGAGCAGAGGAGGGGCAGGGGAGGAGCAGAGGAGGGGCAGAGGAGGAGCAGAGGAGGAGCAGAGGAGGAGCAGAGGAGGAGCAGAGGAGGAGCAGAGGAGGGGCAGGGGAGGAGCAGAGGAGGGGCAGAGGAGGAGCAGAGGAGGAGCAGAGGAGGAGAAGAGGAGGGGCAGAGGAGGAGCAGAGGAGGGGCAGAGGAGGAGCAGAGGAGGGGCAGGGGAGGAGCAGAGGAGGGGCAGAGGAGGAGCAGAGGAGGGGCAGAGGAGGAGCAGAGGAGGGGCAGAGGAGGGGCAGGGGAGGAGCAGAGGAGGGGCAGAGGAGGAGCAGAGGAGGGGCAGAGGAGGAGCAGAGGAGGGGCAGAGGAGGAGCAGAGGAGGGGCAGGGGAGGAGCAGAGGAGGGGCAGAGGAGGAGCAGAGGAGGAGCAGAGGAGGGGCCGAGGAGGGGCAGAGGAGGAGCAGAGGAGGAGCAGAGGAGGAACAGAGGAGGGTCAGAGGAGGAGCAGAGGAGGGACAGAGGAGGAGCAGAGGAGGAGCAGATGAGGGGCAGAGGAGGGGCAGAGGAGGAGCAGAGGAGGAGCAGAGGAGGAGCAGAGGAGAAGAGGAGGAGAAAAGGAGGAGCAGAGGAGGGGCAGAGGAGGAGCAGAGGAAGAGGCTTCTGCAGGAGGATTGGCTGCTATCTAACTTCACACAATATCGCAAGCAAAGAGAGAGGAGGAGAGGAGGGAGAGGAGAGTGAGGAGAGTGAAAAAAAGAGAGGAGAGAAGAGGGGAGAGAGATGGGGAGAGAGGAGGGAGGAGAGAGGAGAGAAAAGAGAGGGGAGAGAAGAGAGGAGATAAGAGAGAGAAGACAGAGAACAGGAGAGAGAGGGGAGAGAGACCAGAAGTGAGGTGAGAGAGGGGAGAGAGATGAAGGAGGAGAGAGAAGAGAGGAGAGAGAGAAGAAGAGAGAGAAATGAGGAGAGGGGAGTAGAAGAGAGGAGAGAGAAGAGACGAGGGAAATGAGAGGAGAGAGAAGAGACGAGAGAAGAGTGAGGAGAGAGGAAAGAGAAGAGAGATGAGGGAGGAGGAATGTTTACTGTCGCGGTTCTGCTTTAATTTTAAACCAAGAAATGAGGAAGTAACGAGCTGCTACTGACTGGATCTACAGCCTCAGTCCTGGATCTACAGCCTCAGTCCTGGGTCTACAGCCTCAGTCCTGGGTCTACAGCCTCAGTCCTGGGTCTACAGCCTCAGTCCTGGATCTACAGCCTCAGTCCTGGGTCTACAGCCTCAGTACTGGATCTCCAGCCTCAGTCCTGGATCTCCAGCCTCAGTCCTGGATCTACAGCCTCAGACCTGGATCTACAGCCTCAGACCTGGATCTACAGCCTCAGTCCTGGGTCTACAGCCTCAGTCCTGGATCTACAGTCTCAGTCCTGGATCTACAGCCTCAGTCCTGGGTCTACAGCCTCAGTCCTGGATCTACAGCCTCAGTCCTGGGTCTACAGCCTCAGTACTGGATCTCCAGCCTCAGTACTGGATCTCCAGCCTCAGTCCTGGATCTACAGCCTCAGACCTGGATCTACAGCCTCAGACCTGGATCTACAGCCTCAGTCCTGGATCTACAGCCTCAGTCCTGGATCTACAGCCTCAGTCCTGGGTCTACAGCCTCAGTCCTGGGTCTACAGCCTCAGTCCTGGATCTACAGCCTCAGTCCTGGATCTACAGCCTCAGTACTGGATCTCCAGCCTCAGTCCTGGGTCTACAGCCTCAGTCCTGGATCTACAGCCTCAGTCCTGGGTCTACAGCCTCAGTCCTGGATCTACAGCCTCAGTCCTGGATCTACAGCCTCAGTACTAGATCTCCAGCCTCAGTCCTGGGTCTACAGCACTCAGTCCTGGATCTACAGCCTCAGTCTCAACAAGAAAACTGTCAATATCAAGAGTTTGAGGTCGTAAGAAGAGACACTTACGAGCTTTCTTAGCAATCATTCAAAGGTTACTCCACTTTTAAAACGAAGCGATTGTAATCAGAGTCAATCCATCTTTTCTAAAGCAAAGTCCAAAAAAACAAAAACAAAAGAACGGCGGCGATGACTGGCGCCTGAGAGTAGGTGGGAGTGTGGGGTTTAGCGGATCATCCCTTGTTGTGTTGTTACTGAACGATGTTTTGTTTCGGTTAATCTCATTATGTCTTTATGAACAAGCACCGGCTCCGCTCCCCATCGCACCCTGGTTATTGTGCGCTCCTAATTGCTGTGTGTTGTTGTGTTAGCGCTGGATCCCACAGTTGAGGCGGCTGTGGCTGAATTCTAAAGCTGTGGCCTTCAAGGAGATGCAGGTTTAACAAGTTTCTGAACATCCAGAAGCTTTTCACTTGTAGATAGAAGTGTGTGTGTGTGTGACCAGAGAGAGACCAGAGAGAGACCAGAGAGACCAGAGAGAGACCAGAGAGAGACTAGAGAGAGACCAGAGAGACCAGAGAGAGAGACCAGAGAGACCAGAGAGAGACCAGAGAGAGACCAGAGAGACCAGAGAGAGACCAGAGAGACCAGAGAGAGACCAGAGAGACTTGAGAGAGACCAGAGAGACCAGAGAGAGACCAGAGAGACTTGAGAGAGACCAGAGAGAGACCACGAAGAAAGACCAGGGAGACCAAAGAGAGAGGCCAGAGAGAGACCACAGAGAGACTAAAGAGACCAGACAGAGACCAGAGAGAGAGAGACCAGAAAGACACATGAAAGAGACGAGAAAAACCAGAGGGAGACAAAAGAGCCCACAGAGAGACTAGACAGACACCGTAGAGAGACCAGGAGTCCAGAGAGAGAGGGACTATTAACAGGGATGAGGGATTAACAGGCCAGAGAGAGACCACAGATAGAGACCAGAGAGAGAACACAGAGAGAGAGACCAGAAAGACACATGAAAGAGACCAGAGAGACCAGAGAGAGACAAAAGAGACCAGAGAGACTAGAGAGAGACCGTAGAGAGACCAGGAGTCCAGAGAGAGAGGGACCATTGACAGGGATCAGAGAGAGACCACAGAGAGGTGGTGAATCCAGACTCTTAAATCCAGCTATTAGAATAAGTCTTCTGATCCCTGTTAACGTTATGTTCCAGCTTCTTCCTTCTGGCAGAAGATCTCGTTGGCTGAGATGCAGGACATCTGGATATGCTAACATGCAGAGAGAGAGAGAGAGAGAGAGAGAGAGAGAGAGAGAGAGAGAGAGAGAGAGAGAGAGAGAGAGAGAGAGAGAGAGAGAGAGAGAGAGAGAGAGAGAGAGAGAGAGAGAGAGAGAGAGAGAGAGAGAGAGAGAGAGATGTGATTAAGCTTGTATCTTGTTTTTGCTTCTGAAGCGTTGCTAGGTTTAACTTGTTTAGGATTAGTAATGATTCTAGCATCTATTAGCTTCTGTTTTTGATGCAGCAGGGTACCGGCTTTACTCTGCAGCAGCCTCAGACCTGGATCTACAGCCTCAGTCCTGGATCTACAGCCTCAGTCCTGGATCTACAGCCTCAGTCCTGGATCTACACAGCCTCAGTCCTGGATCTACAGCCTCAGTCCTGGATCTACAGCCTCAGTCCTGGATCTACAGCCTCAGTCCTGGATCTACAGCCTCAGTCCTGGATCTACAGCCTCAGTCCTGGATCTACAGCCTCAGTCCTGGATCTACAGCCTCAGTCCTGGATCTACAGCCTCAGTATCCTTAGACCCTCCTGCTCCTCACTGAGACCCTCCTGCCCCTCACTGAGACCCTCCTGCCCCTCACTGAGACTCTCCTGCCCCTCACTGAGACTCTCCTGCCCCTCACTGAGACCCTCCTGCCCCTCACTGCGACCCTCCTGAGGTTTCTCTTTTTCCCCACTGTGTTTCTGAGTGGTTTCTCTCTGATGCAGGAGGGTCTAAGGACAGTGATGATCCTGGACATGAATAAACATTTCTGGACAGCGGTCGTGTCTATGGACCAATGGCTTCTATGTGTTTGTTATTGTATTTTCTGTGATTGAACTGTTTGATTCTCTGATCTGTTGTTGGTGAATCCACAACTGTGTAAAGTCCTCTGAGACGGCTGCTGTTGTGATTTAGGGCTGATTATACACAAACACAAACTCAATCTTAAATAATCATTATTTTTCCACCTTCCTGAGGGGAGGTGGCATAGACTTCTGCAGATCCAGTGGATATAGTCCTAAAGTATCGTTACCAAAGCAACGAACCACAAACAGAGCATTCTCACACATTCACGGCTGTCAGTATAATTATAATCATTATATGATCGAGTGTGTGTTTTGATCAAGGCTTTTCCTCGTTCTAAGATCCATCTGAAACAAACGACCTCCAACAATAACTAACTGTGTGGAGTCGTTTCAACAAGGTCTTCTGTAACTGCAATATATACATACATACACACACACACACACACACACACACACACACGTAGATGCATAGACACACACAAGTAGATACATACACACACAAACATACACACAGAGGCACACACGTACTGACATACATACATACACACAGGCCCACATACACAAACACACACACACAAACATGCACACATACACACACAGGCAGGCACGCACACACACACACACACACACACACACACACACATTTACATACATAGACACATACAGTATATATACACGCAGAAACACACACACACACATATACATACATAGACACATACAGTACATATACACGCAGACACACACACACACACACACACACACACACAAACACACACACACGCAGGATCTGTCCTTCCATCAGTGCATTAGTCAGAGTCGCTGTAATTACTTCACATTCTCCACATTCCACATTTTTCTGTGATTTCAAACGAAGCAAACGACTAAAATCCTTCTTCACACAAACACGACGTCTAAAGTATTTGTTATGGTTCGATCGGCTCCTCACACTCAACAACAACCCTGTCAACTGCCACCAGCCCACACCTGTGATCCCATAATGTACCTGTGATCCCATAATGCATCTGTGATTCCATAACGCACCTGTGATCCCATAATGCACCTGTGATCCCATAATGCACCTGTTACAATCCTCTTTGAATAAACAACATCAGCATAGTTCAATCATGCAGCTATCATTAGTGTCACTCTGGTTTCTCTCTGGTCTCTCTCTGGTCTCTCTCTGGTCTCTCTCTGGTCTCTCTCTGGTCTCTCTCTGGTCTCTCTCTGGTCTCTCTCTGGTCTCTCTCTGGTCTCTCTCTGGTCTCTCTGGTCTCTCTCTCTGGTCTCTCTGTGTTCTCTTTAGTCTCTCTCTTGTCTCTCTCCGGTCTCCCTCTGGTCTCTCTCTGGTCTCTCTCTGGTCTCTCTCTGGTCTCTCTCTGGTCTCTCTCTGGTCTCTCTCTGGTCTCTCTGGTCTCTCTCTCTGGTCTCTCTGTGTTCTCTTTAGTCTCTCTCTTGTCTCTCTCCGGTCTCCCTCTGGTCTCTCTCTGGTCTCTCTCTGGTCTCTCTCTGGTCTCTCTCTGGTCTCTCTCTGGTCTCTCTCTCTGGTCTCTATCTGGTCTCTCTCTGGTCTCTCTCTAGTCTCTCTCTCTGGTCTCTTTCTGGTCTCTCTCTGGTCTCTCTCTGGTCTCATGGTCTCTCTCTGGTCTCTCTCTGGTCTCTCTCTGGTCTCTCTCTGGTCTATCTCTGGTCTCATGGTCTCTCTCTGGTCTCTCTCTGGTCTCTCTCTGGTCTCTCTCTGGTCTCTCTCTCTGGTCTCTCTGTGTTCTCTTTAGTCTCTCTCTTGTCTCTCTCCGGTCTCCCTCTGGTCTCTGTCTCTGGTCTCTCTCTCTGGTCTCTCTCTGGTGTTTCTGGGCTATCAGGTCTCTGGTCTTTCTGGTCTCGCTCTGGTCTCTCTCTTGTCTCTCTCTTGTCTCTCTCTGGTCTCTCTCTGGTGTTTCTGGGCTATCAGGTCTCTTCTCTCTGGTCTCTCTCTCTGGTCTCTCTCTCTGGTCTCTCTCACTGGTCTCTCTCACTGGTCTCTCTCTGGTCTCTCTCTGGTCTCTCTCTCTGGTCTCTCTCTGGTGTCTCTGGGCTATCAGGTCTCTGGTCTCTCTCTGGTCTCTGTCTCTGGTCTCTCTCTGGTGTTTCTGGGCTATCAGGTCTCTGGTCTCTCTCTTCTCTCTGGTCTCTCTTCTCTCTCTCGCTGGTCCCTCTCTCTGTTGTGTGCCCTCTGTCTGCATTATTATCTTGGAATTATTCATGAAAACACCTCATTACATAATCACTGTTTTTAACTCCCTGGTACAGCTGACTGTGCAACTCTTTGTAAACACATACAGTATATAATTACTTTTTTACTTGCAGTAGTTTGATTTCACACTCTCACAGCAATACTAAACGACCTCTCTCCAGCTCGATCCCATCCATGCTCCAACACAGCAGCAGCACATTTCAAACAAGAACCCCAGCTTTATTACCCGTCTGTAGTTTTACCTTGGAAGTGGAAGGCTCTGGACTCGCTGTGGAAGCCTTGGACTTGGGTAACTCCATCCAAACCCTGTCCCAGAGAGAGCTCGTCGAACAGGCTGATCCGGAGAGCTGGGTCCACCCCAAACCCTAAAACTGACACACAAACACATCTGTGATTTACCAACACTGACATTCCAATGCATATAATAACACCATTAACTTACACACACAGTAGATCATAACACACAATGATATTATTCTCTAATGACATTACACACACACATATAACATAAGCCAATATTGTGATTTCAAAGCTTTTAAATAGATTTTTTGGTATATGTTTTTGCAAGACTCCTTATCTCTGAACACAATAGACAAACTACTTGTCTTGTCTCTCCACCCTATGACACCAGCTGGTTCCCCTAATTCTGCCCCATGGTTCCTGAACTAGACTGGGTCTGCTGTGCCATGCAGGCAGGCGACATATGGTTGCATCTCCCCGTCACACCGCCGCGTATAACCTTAGATCGGTCGTCCTATACCTGAAGCGGAGCAGAAGACGCCAAGAAGCACAAATAGCTGTAATAATCCCATGTTTGCAAAAAAAAGAAAAAAAAAGCGTCAAAATTAGTCCATGTTTTTAGTCCGCGTCAATGATCAGTGCCAAGATTCTCAAACAAAAAACAGAAAATAGAAAGATGTGGCTGGGTGCAACGCAAGAAACGCTAGTAATTCCAGTTGCGCAGTGGAGGCACCATGACAACTTTAGATGCCCGATAAGACAGCGAGGGAATCCAGAGAGATGGTGGAGGTAAGAGAGCGGCGTGCGTTTGGGGACGGGGGGGATAGATCCGTCGCGTCCGTGGATGTTTGCAGGTGGAGAAGCGACAGGACGGTGTTTGGAGGTGCAGCAGCTGTACACGGGAGCGGGAGGACTCAGGGGAGGAGGAGGAGGAGGAGAGAGGAAGAGGAGGAGGAGAGAGGAACAACCTGTCGAGATGCAGCGCGAACGCAAAGGAGGATGAAGCCCTCTAGCGGCCGGACGCGGTATCGCAGGGTACCACGCCTTAAAGTCATTGTACCCGCGCGGAGCTGGTCACTGGTCTCTCTCGCTCTAGTTTCTTTCTGGTGTGTCTCTCCCGCTGGTGTCTCTCTCTCTTGTCTCTCTGGTTTCTTTCTAGTGTCTTTCTCTGGTTTCTCTATGGTGTCTCTCTCTCTATATATATCTGGTGTCTCCAATATCTTTTTGGTGTCCCTCTCATCTCTTTGGTCTCTCTCTGGTGTCTCTCTCTCTCGTGTCTCTCTATAGCTGGTGTCTTTCTGGTGTCTCTGGTCTCTCCTTTATCTGCTCTATCTTCTTTCCAACGTCTTCATTAAAATACTTAAATATGTAAGGGATAATGTATAGCCTACAGGTCATTATCGGAAAATAAGTACCGACAGGGCGAAGCGGACCCCGACGCGCAGCGGAGGGGTCCGCTTCCGCCCTGAAGGTACTTAGGGCGGAACATTATCCCGCTTATTATACTGCTTTGTACCAACTTAACACACAAAATAAACTTCAGATCACTTTTATGAATGCCAAAAGTTTATTTAATGACAACAAATAAAGTAGTCCCAAAAAGTTTTCCCGTTGCTCGGCAACCGCGGGCAACAGTTAGGCTGGCAACTTCCAAACTAGAACTCTCTGGAACTGCATGAAAACTGAACAAAGAATTCTGAACATCAGCGGTGAGTGACCCAAACATAAACCTAACCTAAATCCATAATTCGATCCTCTGCAAATGTGTCCGAAAATGTGCCGGTATCTACTTCCGGGTTTTTCGGGATCGCCTTTTCTCGCATTACATCAGTGTTTTTGTCATGAAAACGTAAACGGAAAATTCTGAAAACTTCCGTGCACTTGTATTAAGACTGGATATGTATAAATTACTCTCCGATTAACATTTCATTGCGTTGATTGATTGGCATTTGCGTTTATTGAGCGGCCAGAACTACTTCCGGGTTTTTCACGATCGCTTTTTGACGCAGAGAAATAGTATTTTTGTCATGAAGACAAGACCAGAAAATTCTGAAAATTTCCGTGCACGTGTGTGAAGAATGTTTATGTATAAGTATTCTCCGATTAACATTTAAGTGTGTTGATTGAGCGTGGCTAGCTCCGGAGTGGCCGGAACTACTTGCGGAGTTATCCACGCATCTGAAAGACAAGCAGAGAGTGCGTTGCCAAAGGGCAGCGGTCATTATTGTTTTGAGAGGTCCGTTATAGAAAATAATGACCGGTAGAACGTTTTGAAATTACATTCAAATCTATGGAGCATTCTACTGCTGCTGTGAGGAGCCGTATAATAAATCATAATAACTGTTTAATTATATTCTTGAATTGTTTCATTTGTTAAGTCCTAAACACATAAAGATGGTACATAATCTTCTCATATTGTGCAAAAAAAAAAAAAAAAACAGTTCTCACATAAATCCAACCCATTCCCAGAGTCTGACTCAAAAGGCCACATCCACAGCCTGCAGCCAGAGCAGTGCACCATGGGAGCTGGTGGGTCTGAAGGGTCTGAGAGCGGGACGGAGCAGATATGATTCTGGGGACAAATCCAAGTCCCGCTCCGCTCAGAACAACGGCAGCTTAGAGCCCGCTGGTCCAGCCATTTCCACTCCAACGGTTCCCAACATGAGGGTCTCTCAGATCACAGAGAGACAGTTACACAAGTCCAACAACCAGAGAGAGAGAGAGAGAGAGAATGCTCCAGGATCCTCTCTGCATCACATCACTTGGTAACATTTAAATCTCTTAAATCGCTGGCTCTTAGAATAATCATTAACTCGTCTGGTCCCTGGAAAAGCCATGTTCCAGCTTCTTCCCTCTGGCAGAAGATCTCGTTGTCTTACATCTGGATATGCTAACCTGCTAACAGCTTCTTTCAGCTGTTCTCAGTCTGAACAAAGCACTTTAATGATTGAGAGACCATAGAGAGAGAGAGACCAGAGAGGCTAGAGAGAGTACAGAGAGACAGACCAGAGAAAGAGACTACAGAGAGAGAGACCAGGCTAGAGAGAGAGAGACAACAGAGAGAGACTACAGAAAGACCAGAGAGAGGCAAGGAAGAGAGAGACCAGAGAGAGTGACCAGAGACGCTAGAGAGAGGGACCATAGAGAGACCCTTTAGAGATTAGAGCGATAGACCAGAGAGATAAACTACAGAGAGACCAGAGAGAGAGAGACTACAGAGAGAGACCAGAGAGAGACCAGTAAGAGAGGCTAGAGAAAAAGAGAGACCAAAGAGAGAGACTACAGAGACGAACCACAGAGAGACGAGAGAGAGACCAGAGAAAGAGACAGAGAGACCAAAGAGAGAGACTACAGGGAGAGACCAGAGAGAAAGAGAGAGACCAAGGAGAGACTAGAGAAAGAGACCAGAGAGAGACCAAGGAGAGACTAGAGAAAGAGACCAGAGAGAGACCAGAGAGAGACCAAAGAGACAATATACTTTAATGATCTTTGGAAGCTGTTCTTGTTGATTGTTTTCAAAGGTTTTTTTATTTATATACTTGTCTGATTGACACTGAGAACTCTTGCACATGTATTCCAATGTGGTTTTACTGCAAATGGCAAAGCAACTGAATCTGTCCTTGAATTGAACAAGTATTTTGCCATGACCTGGAAGACTGGTACCATGGCACCACAGTCTTCCTCCTACGGCCCCCCCAGCCCTCCCAGAGAACCCCCCCCCCACCACTGAGCCCCCGTCCTCCCTATTCAGCACCCACTCCACCGAGCTCCATGCACCCACCTGTCAGTCACCGCTGCTCAGGTGAGGACAGAGATGAGGAGGATAAAGACCAGAAAGGCACCAGGACCAGATAATATCAGCTCCAGGCTCCTTCGCTCCTGTGCAGACGAACTCTGTGGAGTGATGGAGCGCGTCTTCAACCTGAGCCTCAGGCTGAGGGCGGTACCACAGCTCTGGAAGACCTCCTGTGAGGTACCGGTGCCCAAGAAACCACGGGCCAAAGATCTCAGCGACTTCAGGCCAGTGGCTCTAACATCCCACTGCATGAAGACACTGGAGAGACTGGTCCTGGGACATCTCCGCTCCACTCTGAGCCCAGCGATGGACCCGCTGCAGTTCGCCTACAGGCCGGGCATCAGAGTCGAGGACGCCATCATCTCCCTCCTCCATCGCTCCCTGTCCCACCTGGAGAAACCCGGCTCCACTGTGAGGATCCTCTTCTTTCATTTCTCCAGTGCCTTCAACACCATCCAGCCGCGGCTTCTCAGGGACAAGATGGAGACAGCCGGTGTGGACTACGACCTGTCCCAGTGGATCCTGGACTACCTCACAGACAGACCCCAGTTTGTGAGAACCAGGGACTGCGTGTCTGAGGTCCTGACCTGCAGTGTGGGGGCCCCCCAGGGAACTGTCCTCGCGCCGTTCCTCTTCACCCTCTACACTACGGACTTCAGACACAACACGGACTGTTGTGTCCTCCAGAAATTCTCTGACGACTCTGCCATCATCGGACTCAGCTCCGAGGACGATGACACAGAGTACAGAGGAGTTATACAGGACTTTGTGGACTGGTGTCAGCGGAACCACCTCCTCATCAACGCGGGGAAGACCAAGGAGATGGTGGTGGATTTCCGCAGACGTCACTCTGCCGCTCCAGCTCCAGTGAACATCCAGGGAAAGGACATCGAGAGAGTGGACTCTTACAAGTACCTGGGTGTTCATCTGAACCACAAACTGGACTGGACTCATAACACAGACGCCCTCTTCAAGAAGGGCCAGAGCCGCCTCTACTTGCTGAGGAGGCTCAGGTCTTTTGGAGTGCAGGGGCCACTCCTGAAGACCTTCTATGACTCTGTGGTGGCATCAGCCTCTTGTACGGTGTGGTCTGCTGGAGCAGCAGCATCACAGAGAGGGACAGGAAGAAGCTGGACAAGGTCATCAGGAAGTCCAGCTCAGTCCTGGGCTGTTCCCTGGACACAGTGCAGCAGGTGGGGGACAGGAGGGTCCTGAGCAAACTAACATCTATGCTGGACCATGACTGTCGCCCCCTGCAGGACACTCTCTCTGCTCTGGAGAGCAGCTTCAGTGACAGACTAATTCACCCTCGCTGTGTGAAGGAGAGGTTCCGTAGGTCTTTCCTTCCTGCTGCTGTCAGACTGTACAATAAGAACTGCTGAGCCTGTAAATTTCATTCATCTGTAACTAAGTAAATTCTTAAATCATGTGCAATGTGCAATACTGCAACTTCAGAATGTCACAGAACAATGTCACTTTACCTCATGTCACTTATATACTTATTATCCTGCACTATTTAACTGTACAGTATATAACTGCACTACTACATATATATCTTTTGACTGGTATTGAAGCTTTTTCAGCATCTACAGCTAGTTATGTTAGCTAAGAAACAAAGCTACTACTTATTTGTATATATTGTGTGTGCTCCCTGTGTGCTCTTACTACTGTCCTGTATGTGCGATGCAACATCGAAATTTCCCCACTGTGGGACGAATAAAGGAACTCTTATCTTATCTTATTTTAGTGTATGGTAGCCCCTTTGTGTGCAATAAAAATAAAATAATCAAATCATAATAAATCCAGACCAAAACACATTGTGAATTGTCTGAAATGTGCTAAACAAATAACATTGGATGGATTTCAGCTCAGAAACAACCATTACATCTCAATACGTGTCAATATAATAATCTCTACACATTTACGGGTCAGTCCTGGATCTACAGCCTCAGTCCTGGATCTACAGCCTCAGTCCTGGATCTACAGCCTCAGTCCTGGATCTACAGCCTCAGTCCTGGATCTACAGCCTCAGTCCTGGATCTACAGCCTCAGTCCTAGATCTACAGCCTCAGTCCTGGGTCTACAGCCTCAGTCCTGGATCTACAGCCTCAGTCCTGGATCTACAGCCTCAGTCCTGGATCTACAGCCTCAGTCCTGGATCTACAGCCTCAGTCCTGGATCTACAGCCTCAGTCCTAGATCTACAGCCTACATATTTCTACATAAGTTCCTTAATTGAATATAAATGGAATCCTCACAGGTCTCCGGAAGAAGCCGCTTTCCAAAAGAAGCCGCTTGAGGAAAAAAAATAGAATGATTAAATCTTGTGTCGAGCCAAAACTAGTTCAGGAAGCGGCGCCAACTGTGAGTTCTCCGAGGACCAGGATCCGAGGGACGACTTCTACTACAGCTCCATTCACACAACGCTCTCACACCGGGACATTTTGACTGCCAGCCGTTTTTAATGATTGCACTGATTCTCAAGACCCACAGAACATTATTTACGAAGTCTATGTGAAATATGAAACCAGATTCTGAAAGACTGGACTGTCTACTTTGATCAGCAAAAATAAGTTTGTTTTTAGCTATTTTTACTGTCCTGTAATCACCAGTCGATTATAGGGTCTCAGACAAATACGTCAACGGCAGTCAATGGGTTAAGGACATTTAAGGACTTATGGACATTGCATTTCCATGTGTTTGATTCTCTGATCTGTTGTCAGCGAATCCACAATTTTGTAAAGTCCTTGAGACGACTGTTGTTGTGGTTTATGGCGATGCATAAATACATTGAATTGAACTGAGCCGAAGCAAAATCAGAGACGATGAACTTTGAACAAGAGTGAATTATGTGCCAAAAATATGAGCTATACATCTTTAGGGTGCCGTGAAAAAAATATTTTTGATAATTTAACTTGAAATTAAAAATATGATTTTGTTTCCCAGTTCTGTTTATCTCTGCAACTCACTTTTGAATGTAAATATTTAGGATTCTCACGCCTTATGTGTTTGTTTCTTATTATAATCAGCCTTTTGAGTTTCCTTGAGTTAAAAACTGTGCTTTACAAATAAACTTGCCTTGCCAAATCATAATTCTTTAGTACTCAACTCCATGATGGCTAAAGACACAGGAATATTCGGTTTTGGACGAGTTTGTCACTTGGAGAGTTCAAACAGATCATCTCAGCGCCATCTTGTGGTGAAGAGGAGACGGTGCAGCAGTGAGCAGACGGAGGTGGCAAACTCATTTTGGTCAGGGGCCGAATAAAAAAAATAGAAACTGGTCAAGGATTTTTTTAACATGATGGTGGTGTTCTGACATGACTTTAATGTGACATGAGTTACTCTATTATTTTCTGGTTGATTTTTCTAAAAAACAAAATGTGTTGTTGTTTAGATTTAAACCAAACTGGACCAAATATGAAGTGAAACACATTGTCTTATATTTAACTTCCGATGATGGGTTGGGTTAAAATGGCAAGGCAAGGCAAGTTTATTTGTATAGCACAATTCATACACAAGGCAACTCAAAGTGCTGAACAAAATAAGAAAGCATTAAAATCATAAATAATCACAGAACATTAAAAAGAAAGATAAAGATATAAAATCCCTCAGTTGTAGCACAGCTAAACAGAACCGTCTTTAACCTGGTTTTAAACATTGTCAGAGAGGAGGCCTGTCTCACATCTTCAGGAAGACTGTTCCAGATTTTTGCAGCATGAATCTGAAAAGCAGCCTCCCCATGTTTAGTTCTGACTCTGGGCACTAACAGGAGTCCAGTCCCTGTGCTCCTCAGAGTCCCAGCAGGAGTCCAGTCCCTGTGCTCCTCAGAGTCCCAGCAGGAGTCCAGTCCCTGTGCTCCTCAGAGTCCCAGCAGGAGGCCAGTCCCTGTGCTCCTCAGAGTCCCAGCAGGAGGCCAGTCCCTGTGCTCCTCAGAGTCCCAGCAGGAGGCCAGTCCCTGTGCTCCTCAGAGTCCGGGCTGGTTCATATGGGACTAACATGTCACTAATATATTTTGGTGCGAGGCCATGGAGAGACTTGTAACAAGCAGAGCTGTTTTAAAGTCTATTCTCTGAGCCACAGGAAGCCAGTGCAGAGACCTGAGAACTGGACTAATGTGGTCGTACTTCCTGGTTCTTGTCAGGACTAATGTGGTCGTACTTCCTGGTTCTTGTCAGGACTAATGTGGTCGTACTTCCTGGTTCTAGTCAGGACTCGAGCTGCTGCATTTTGAATGTACTGCAGCTGTTTTACAAATGTTGGAATAATGTTGGAATAAAACTAGATTTGGCTGTTTTCCTGATAAAATAGATTATGTTATGACATGCCTTGGTAGCTCATTACCCCCAATGCTGCAAGTTAATCAAAATCATTGAAAATAATTTTAGGGGCCACTATACATGGTCAGTGTTGCATCGCCAGTCACAGAACAGTAGGAATGAGGAGCACACAGCACAAGAGAAGAGAATATAAACTATCGCACGACTCTATACTTAAGGTTTAAGGTTTCATTTATTAAGGACAATATAAGACGCTGCTCCAGATTTAGCACCTGCTACTTCACACTTGTCGTCCTGACAACACAATCATATAACATACATCTTAAAACAAGTTCAATAAAAGTGCGAGTTACTAAAACATCAAATAAAATATAGTTCAAAAAGGTGCAATACCGAGCTACATTTAGCAGGGATATATAAAGTGTGGCACAATGCTCAAACAAATAATCTGATCATCTGAAAACCATTATACCCAACAGTCTGGTTGTCTGACGGAATAGAAAAATCTCTATCTTTGGCTTCATAAAGAACCAAATTAAATGTAAAAAGTTGATTTTGTCGCCGGAACGTGTCAGGTGATGAAGCAGTACTAGCTTCCTTAACTTTTTTGTCTTACTAAAAGAACCTTTTAAGCCTGAAAGAACCAGACGATAAAATACTGTTTACTGCAGAGCGCCCACATCTTAATCGAAACCAAGATCTACTGTTACTGCAACCATTGAGCCTGCTCCACCTCAGCCTCATGGTGGAGTTAGAGTTCAGTTCATGATCAAGTAATGACCGTGGTGTCTTCATTCACAGGAAAGAAATACTTACAGGACTAAATTTCAGTTTGAAAATGTACTTCTAAAAGTACACACACAACTGCAGCGTCACTAATATCTGATTAATCTCATACATATAATGGATTGTTCACTACTGTCTGTTTGCGCTTGTGGGCTCTTCATGTTCTTTCTTTTGAAGTTGGGCTGTCAGAATTGTGTGCGCGTGTGTGTGTGTGTGTTTGTGGGTGTGTGTGTGTGTGTGTGTGTGTGTGTGCGTGCGTGTGTTGCTGTCAGAACGCAGTGAGCAGCAGTTACATTTGCGTGCAGCTTGAGCACAGATTCAATGGAGCAGCGTATATTTGTAAGTTTATGTTTCTAGAAAAATCTGTAGTGCTCTTAGTCAGAGCTCAGTCACACGGGGGGAGCTCAGAGTAGAGCCGCTGCAACTCCACGTGGAGAAGGGCCAGTTGAGTTGGCTCAGCTGTTTGGGAGGCCTCCTGGATGCTTCTCTGTGGAGGTGTTCTGGTCCTGTCCCACCAGGAGGAGACCAGGGGCAGACCCAGAACTCAGAGGGACTGTGTCTCTCTCTAGCCTGAGAACATCTCAGGATCCCCCCTGATGAGCTGGAGGAAGTTTGTGTGTCTGGGCGTCTTTGCTCAGACTGCCACCCCCACGACCCAGCAACGGATAAAGCGGAAGATCATGGATTGTGTGTGAAGTGTGAACTGTATGTAAGAAATGTTCAGAATATTTTTTATGCATTCCTTTAATCTATTTTTACTTAATTACTTAACAATTCTGATCGTGACAAAGAGATTAAAACGTCCTAAACTCAAAGCCAATCAGAGACGAACTGACATTAACTCTATCAAGCTAACATTCCAAGGCCCAGAGCGTCCGAGCCTCAAACCCCTGCATTAGCATTAGCATTAGCCTCCATGTTTAACCCTGTTGAGAGAAGCCATATCTGTCGGAGGCTGTTTTATGGAGTGGGAGCGAGCACACCCCCATCAGGGACCCTCTATTGTCCCTGTGTGCAATAATGAAGCGCCTCATTGAGCTGTGCGTCTGAATAGCGGCCGCTCTTTCACTCCGCTCGCACAAGCTCATTAGAACTCTATAGACGCACAATCGCGGCCCTCACATTAGAAACTTCCTCCTCGGGGACAGACACGGCACAGAATGGGCCAGTTTGCTGCTAAGCTAAGCACATTGTCCTCCTGATTCATGGAGCCCGGACCCCCATTCATAATATTAAGTTCGAGTGGTGGAATATCAATTGCAGCGGGCAATGGGGCGCTATCTTTTTAAGAGATTTAGTGGGGTTAAAAAGGAGAGAGGGGGGGTCTCTGCTGGTCTACAGAGGAGTGGGTTCAACAGCCTCATTGTGACCACAGTCAAAGAAAGATCCAGTTTTCCCTCCGTTTCAGAAAGAGGTGGACATCAAATAAATTCACATGAACTTCAGGGTCTTTGAGGACGTCCCAATTACACCTGTCCCAGACCACGGATCATCAGACCACGGATCATCAGACCACGGACCATCAGACCACAGACATCAGACCACGGACCATCAGATCACGGACCATCAGACCCTGGACCATCAGCTCACGGACCATCAGACCATGGATCATCAGACCATGGATCATCAGACCACGGACCATCAGACCACAGACATCAGACCACGGACCATCAGATCACGGACCATCAGACCCTGGACCATCAGCTCACGGACCATCAGACCACGGATCATCAGACCACGGATCATCAGACCACGGACCATCAGACCACAGACATCAGACCACGGACCATCAGATCACGGACCATCAGACCCTGGACCATCAGCTCACGGACCATCAGACCATGGATCATCAGACCATGGATCATCGAACCACGGACCGTCAGACCACGGACCATCACACCACAGATCATCAGACCACAGAGTGTTTTTCTTATGAATGATTTATATTTGCACAAGGACAATAAACATGAGCCAAAAGGAGAGATGCTTTGAAGCAGGTTTCAGCAGAAGCTAAAGTACAGCTGCAGTGATGTCACGATAATGCTGTGGATAGACACAGCTCTAACACACAGCTTTATAGTGACAGCTCAAACACAGAGCTTTAAAGTGCTAACATCTCGGCACAAAGTGCAACAGTCACAGACTGTGACAGAGCTCTTTCCACCAGTTCAGGAATAAAACCTCAAATTTGATTACAAGCAACCTTTGGCTCTTTGGCCGCGACACAAAGGGCTCGGTGTCTGGGCCAATTTCCATGCTCAGCATGAGGTACGCACACGCTCAGCTGGCACCGGCCCCTCAGGCCCCTGAGGGCCCACGGCCCCCGACACAGAGGCTGGATATGCCTGTTTACTGAGCTTTACACAGCCTTCAGACTCCACAGATCACAGCCTCTGGAGGAACAAACAACATAGCAACTCAGTTCACCTCAGTTCAATTCAATTCAATTTATTTCTGAATAGCCCTAAATCACAACAGCAGTCACAGGCCTGGGGTGAAATTACAAATCCACTCTGCAAAGTTGTGATTCACCAACATCAGAGAAAAAAACACAGGAAATGTAATAATAACAAACACAGGAGCCATTGGTCCATAGGGAGCGGGACAACCACGGTCCAGAAAGGTCCTGGATCATCACTGTCCTAAGAGCCTCACACAGAGAGAAGGATCTGTTCTCACACACAGCACGACTGAGGCTGTAGATCCACGACTGAGGCTGTAGATCCAGGACTGAGGCTGTAGATCCAGGACTGAGGCTGTAGATCCAGGACTGAGGCTGTAGACCCAGGACTGAGGCTGTAGACCCAGGACTGAGGCTGTAGATCCAGGACTGAGGCTGTAGATCCAGGACTGAGGCTGTAGACCCAGGACTGAGGCTGTAGACCCAGGACTGAGGCTGTAGACCCAGGACTGAGGCTGTAGACCCAAGACTGAGGCTGTAGATCCAGGACTGAGGCTGTAGATCCAGGACTGAGGCTGTAGATCCAGGACTGAGGCTGTAGACCCAGGACTGAGGCTGTAGACCCAGGACTGAGGCTGTAGATCCAGGACTGAGGCTGTAGATCCAGGACTGAGGCTGTAGACCCAGGACTGAGGCTGTAGACCCAGGACTGAGGCTGTAGACCCAGGACTGAGGCTGTAGACCCAAGACTGAGGCTGTAGATCCAGGACTGAGGCTGTAGATCCAGGACTGAGGCTGTAGATCCAGGACTGAGGCTGTAGACCCAGGACTGAGGCTGTAGACCCAGGACTGAGGCTGTAGACCCAGGACTGAGGCTGTAGACCCAGGACTGAGGCTGTAGATCCAGGACTGAGGCTGTAGATCCAGGACTGAGGCTGTAGACCCAGGACTGAGGCTGTAGATCCAGGACTGAGGCTGTAGACCCAGGACTGAGGCTGTAAATCCAGGACTGAGGCTGTAGATCCAGGACTGAGGCTGTAGATCCAGGACTGAGGCTGTAGATCCAGGACTGAGGCTGTAGATCCAGGACTGAGGCTGTAGACCCAGGACTGAGGCTGTAGATCCAGGACTGAGGCTGTAGATCCAGGACTGACGCTGTAGATCCAGGACTGAGGCTGTAGACCCAGGACTGAGGCTGTAGATCCAGGACTGAGGCTGTAGACCCAGGACTGAGGCTGTAGACCCAGGACTGAAGCTGTAGATCCAGGACTGAAGCTGTAGATCCAGGACTGAGGCAAAATGTAGTGGAAAAAATGTCGGGAAACTTTCATTGAAACAAACACATACATGTTTGTTGTTATAACATTAAAGCAGTCACTCTAAACGATTGTTGATTTCCAGACAAAAACGCCTCATAAAACTGTGAAACGCAGATTGTAGTGAAAGCCGTTTCAGAAAGACCCGAATGCCCCGGTTGCAAATGAAGAGCAGTTGGTTTGAGAGGCACAAAAGAGCTTTGAGCGAGAGGGAACTATTTACTACTGCAGCCACTGTTCACTGAATGTTAAACTTAGGCCACAGCTCATTGTCTCTGGTGTCTATCATTTAATAGGCCAGTTGACATAATGAATGAGCCAGACCCACCTTCTGCCACTCCAATGGACCCCAGCCTTATCTGAATTGTGAACACATTAGGCTCCCTCGGCCAATCACAGTGCAGCCTGCAGCCGAGGGAAGAGGAGCAGTAGGACTTTTGTTTTGCTGTAGTTTAATGAAGTTGGCCTGGTCAGTCCCACAGGATTAAAGCGGCACCAGAGAGAGTGGACCATGGTTTTTCTGCACAGACACATCAGCGGCAGCAGCATGGCCTCTCCTCCTCCTCCAACGGCGGGATTCGGGAGTTCTGGGAAGTGTTTTCTCATCGACAACCTGCTGCAGTCTCGTACCTCTGCATCAGGAGCTGAGCGGCAGCAGCAGCAGCAGCAGGAGCAGACTCAGACCCGGAGGACTGAAGCCGGACCCAGGAGAGGAGCGGGTCTGAGGCGGAGCTGGGAGTGCGGATTCCAGAGTCCGGTCCACAGTCCAGAGCAAGTCCTGCAGCACCCAG